AGAAATGAAATCAAAAAATAAAAATACTTAGAGGCAAATGAGAATAGCAAAAAACATCGAAATCTCTGGGACACTGTGAATGCAGTTATAAGAGGAAAGTTCCTTGCATTGAGTTCACTCATTAAACGAGTAGAAAATCACCACATAAGTAACCTAACATTACATCTCAAAGCTCTAGAAAAAGAGGAACAAATCAACACCCAAAGCAGTAGAAGATGGGAAATAATTAAAATCAGAGCTGAAATCAAAAGAACTTGAAACAAAACAAACAGAGCAATTTAAAAAAACTGACCAAAGAAAGAGTTGGTTGGTTGAAAAAATAAATAAAATTGACAAATCCTTAGCCAGGTTAACAAGGAGAAAGAGAGTGTAATCTCAAATTTCTAAAATGTGTGATGAAAACGTAAATACCACAACAGACACCATTGAAATGCCGACATTCATCAAAAACGACTCTGAAAATCTATACTCAAATGAAATAGAAAATCATGAAGATAATCAACAAATTTTGAGAGACCTATATCCTACCCAAATTGAATCAGGGGGATATAGAAAATTTAAACAGATCAATTTCAAACGGTGAAATTGAAAACACTATCAGAAGCTTACCAACAAAGAAAACCTCAGGACCAGACAGATTCTCAGCCATGTTCTACCAGACCTTCAAAGAACTAACACCAATCTTCCTCAAATTATTCCATGAAATGGAAAAAGAGGGACCCTTCTAAACTTGTTCTACAATGCTGGTATCACTCTGATACCAAAAGCAGACAAAAACACATCAAGGAAAGAAAACTTCAGACCAATATCCCTGATGAACATAGATTTTAAAAATTTTAAGAAAATACTGGCAAATTGCATTTAAAAGGATAGTGCACCATAATCAGGTGGGGTTCATTCCAGGGAAGCAAGGTTGATTCAACATCTGGAAATCAATAAACATAATTCATCACATCAATAGACTTTGAAGGTAAGAATCACATGGTTATCTCAATAGATGCAGAAAAATCATTTGACAAAATTCAGCATCCATTCTTGCTCCAAACACTAGAAGAACTAGGAATAGTAATAATATACCTAAACATTGTAAAAGATATATATGTTAAACCCAAGGCCAACATCAGTCTAAATGAAAAAAATAATTGAAAACATTCCCTTTAAAAACTGGTACAAGGCAGGGATGCCATGTTTCACCACTTCTATTCAACATAGTTTTTGAAACCCTAGCCAGAGCAATTCGAAAGTAGAAAGAAATTAAAGGGCTATGAATTGGAAAAGAAGAACTCAAACTATCCCTATTTGCTGATGACATGATTCTATATTTAGAAGACCCCCCCCAAAAAAAATAACCAGAAAGTTTCTAGAACTCCTAAATTCATTCAGCATAGTACAGGATATAAAATTAACACCCATAAATCAATTGTGTTCTATATATGAGTGATGAATCAACTGAAAGAGAAATTAATAAAACTATCCCATTCATAATAGTCTCGAAAAAATAAAATATATAGGAATCAATCAAAAGAGGTGAAAGATCTCTACAATGAAAATCATAGTCTACTAAAGAAAGACATTGATTAAGATCTTAGAAGATGGACAGATCTAAGTTCTTAGATAAGCCGAATTAATATTGTCAAAGTGGCCATACTAGAAAAAGCCTTATAAGGATCTATTGCAATTCCTATTAAAATCCCAATGACAATCTTCACAGAAATAGAAATAACAGTCTTGAAATTCATTTGGAAAAATAAGAGACTCAGAATAGCCAAAGCAATCCTTAGCAAGAAAAGTGAAACAGGAGGCATCATAATACCAAACTGTCGGGGTTTTTAGCCCCCCATCTCCTCCTGACCTGCAGGAGAAGCAGGGAAAGCACGCCCCGACCAGGACGAGCCAAGAAAGGTAAAGGTCGGCTGGCCACCCACACCCAGCCCTCCCTCCCTCGCCAGAGGACAATCAGACGTGCCAGGGAGAAAAGTCAAAGCAGGATTTCGTTTAATGAGGAAGTACACACAGCTTATATACTGCACAGGAGCCAATCAGAATAAAGGTCAGAGGGGTGGAGCAAGTTCACGTGTACACACATCCCATAGTCTGTAAGGGAAGGAATGAGCTGTCGAAGAAGGCGGAAGAGTCCTGGACCTATCCTGGATGTGGTCCGCCTCCTCCATCACCCCCCACAGCAGCGCCTCCTGGCTGATCACCAGAAGCCATCCCAGCCACATGTGCGGCCTCAAGACCAGGAAGCAGGCAACCATGCCCTATACCAGACCTTAAATTATACTACAGAGCTACAAACAGTGTAGTTTTTGAACCAAAATAGATATGAAAACCAATGAAACAGAATAGAAGACACAGACTCATACCCACAATACAGTTATCTCATACTAGAAAAAAGATGCCATAAACATATTTTAGAGAAAAGATAGCCTCTTCAACATATGATTCTGGGAAAACTGGAAGTCTGAATGTAGCAAAATGAAATTAGACCCCTATTTCTCACTCTGCACAAAACTCAAAAGTGGATTGAGGCCCTGGCCATTAGACCAGAGAACCTGCTCCTACTAGATTATATAGGCCCAACTTTCCATCATATCAGCTTAGGCACCAACTTCTCAACAAGACTCGAAGCGCACAAGAAGTAAAATCAAGAATCAATAAATGGGATGTTATCAAACTAAAAAGCTTCACAGCAAATGAAACAATCAAGAACATAACAAGAGAGCCTCCAGAATCTGAGAAAATCTTTGCCACCTGGACCTCAGATAGAGCATTAATCTCTAGGATGTATAAAGGACTCAAAAACCTTAACACCAAAAGAACAAGTAGCCTAGTCAATAAATGGGAAAAGGCACTGAAAAGACACCTCACAGAAGAAATACAAATATATGAAAAAAAAGTGCAACATCTATCAATTAGAAAAATGCAAATTGAAACTACACTGAGATTCCCTCTCATTCCTAGCAGATTGGCAGTAATCAAGAATACCATCAACAGTAAATTGGATGTGCAGAAACGAGTACACTCATCCGTTGCTGGTTGGACAATTGGTACAACCACTCTGGAAAGCAGAGATTTCTCATAAAAAAAAAAGAGATTCCTCATAAAACTTGGAATGGAACCACCATTTGACCCAGTTAACCCACTCCTCAACGTGTACCCAAGTAATTTAAAAATCAAGATACTATTGTGAGGTAGCCACATCAGTATTTATAGCAGGTCAGTTCACAAAAGTATAGGTGCCCTTTAACAGATGAATGGATAAAGAAAATGTGAGATTATATATATATATATATATATATATATACACACACACACACACACAAACACACACACACACACATATATATATATGGAATATTACTCAGCCATAAAGAAGAATGAAATTATGGCATTTGCTGGTAAATGGATGGAGCTGGAGAATATTATGCTAAATGAAATAAACCAATCCCAAAAAACCAACAGTCTAATGGTCTCTCTGATATGCGGATGCTAATACACAATAAGGGTGGTGGTGAGGGAAGAATAGAAGTTCATTAGATTTTATTGATTATTTTATTCATTCCCCTTTGATAGGGGAATGAAGGGAAGAGAGGGTGATGGGAATATGAAAGACCATAGAATGAAGTGAAAATTATGAATTAACAAAAAATTAACATTATGAATATGTTCATATATGAATACATGACCAGTGTATCTCTATATCATGTACAACCACAAAATGGGAAGTTATACTCCACGTATGTTTAATATGTCAAAATACGTTCTACTGTCATGCATAACTAAAAATAACTAAAATAACTAAAAATAACAAATTAAAAAAAAATTAAGAAAGAACTATGTTGACATGGATATCAGGCATACCACACCAATTCCTTCCAGAGGCAGCACCCTCAGTGACCTCCCCTTAGCCTTTACGTCTATAGGTCCCACCACCATTTAACCTTTAACCACCTTAACACTTACCTCTGAAGGTTTTCAATACTTGAGTCTTCAAAACAATATCTAAACCACATGTAGAATGATAAATTGAAACTGAGGCCAATGAGCATGGATTTCTCATGTTCTCCAAGCATTTCAGCCAGGTATTGCAGATATGGTAGGCCCACAAATGCATATATGTGGAAATGGGTTTTTTGCCATTTGAGTACAATAAAGTGAGTACAATGAGTTGAGGGTGTATGCAAAAAAAAATAATTGTAATGATGACCTTTAAATGGATCTTAATGGGGATGATGGAGAAGGAAGATGTGTCAGGATCAGTGCATTGTAGGCAATTGCAGGGTAAAAATATTTTCAGAGTTGGAGTAGTTGAGGGAGATAACTACAAAAATAGAATATTAGAGACTGGAGAGTGTAGAACTTAAAACTGGAAATTCTCAGGAACTGTAATTTATGATAAAATCTCCTTGATTTGACCGATGGAGTGCCCAAGCTAGAGTGAAGATAGAGGTACAGTGAAATTCAGCGAACTATGTGTAGATATTGGAAGGATTGTTGTTGCAAATATAGACATTGTCTAATTAGTTATGACAGCATTAGTATTGGAAAGATGGTGAGTCAGAAAGTAAAATGTTCATTCAATGAAGAAGAATACCTTGAGGGTAGATAACTGCAATAAGTTAATATGTGATAAATCCATTCTCTCCTGCCATGAGTTGACAGTATAAAGAGCTTCCGAGCAATTAAAAGTAACTAGTAGTTTTACATATGAACAAAAACAATTAGTTAATTTTTAAAATGCTATTCTGATATTCATGTATTTACTTCACCCGAAAAACAAAAAAAAAGAATGTCAACCTTGTTAACCACCCTAGAAATCATATACAATTGAAATAAAATTTGACCGTCATATATCTTATCATTTATTAATTTCTAGTCAATAGCAGAACTTAACTAATACGTACCTATTGGAAGAATGCATTTTTTAACCTGGCTCTAAAAGTTATAACAAATAAAATTCAAATCATTTTGAGAGCATTCATTTTTTGTTTCTACAGAGATTTCTTCTGAAGGAGAAAAATACACACCCTTAATTATTGGAGAAGAAACAATACAATGTGTTTCACATGAAATAAATCCATCAGCTTCTGTTGACTCTTCCATCGATACAAAAAGTCCTAAGTTTAGTGAGACATCTCCACAGATATCAATGAAACCAGAAGGAAATATAGAAGGTATGTTTTAATACCTCAAAATAAGCTATATTTGATTTACTCATACTTAAATCTCTTTTTTATAAACAGATCATCGAGATTCGTGTATATGTTTGGATAATTCACCTCAAATTAAGTTTGCTGTTTTTATACTTTTATTTTATACTGGCCATGGTTTATTATCTTATGTGTCAGAGATTGAATTAAAGCTTGGCTCAGATGATTTTTTCCAATTCATGTTCCCTTATTTGAAAGATCGCTTGGTATGGTATTCAGCTGGCAGTGAGGCCATCTAAAGGATCCAAGATGGCTTTACTGCTGTCTTGTAAGGTGCAGCTAGAAGGCTAAATTAAGATGGGCCTCCCTCCCTTTCCATGGAATCTCAGAGCCATTCTGTGACTCTTTCTAGTAAGATAGTCTGACTTGTTTTCAAGGGCCCAGAGCTAGATTCAAAGAGAGAGAAGCAGGACCCACTTCCCAAGGGAAGAGTGTTAAAGAATTTGCAGCCATCTCACAGATGCTGAGGTGAAAGCTGCTTGTTCTCTGAAAAGCTAGTCAGAGAATTGGCACAATATCACTTCTGTCATGCTCCCTTGGTCAAAACCAGCACAGGGGAAACAGGAATCACTTCTCAAAGAATTTTAAAGAATTTGTAGCCATATTTAATCTGCCATAGTCTGCCCTCTGCCTTGAAAGTTTTACATTCTTCCCATGTTTAAAATATGCTCTGCCCTCTCAACACCTCGTCTCATTATGACAGCTCAGAGCCAAAGGGTGATGCTAGAAGAGTCAGGCCCCTATGTTGAGTTTTCTTGGGTACCATTCCTCAAGTATTCTCAATCTGGAGACCTGTAAGTTAAAAAGTCAATTTAATTGCCTTCTACATATCAACATTAAATGGTGAGACAGGCCTAAAGACTTGTTTTCAAAACCAGGGAAGATGGGAAGCACATAGTTGCCATTGGTTGATGGAAATTCTGACATCCGGCCAGAAGTACTGTTAGCCCGCTTTCATGGCACCAAACACTGATGCCCTCAAGGACCTTTATTTTGGTAGTGCTGGGGATACAACCCAGGCCCTTGTTCATAGGAGGCAGGCACTCTACCAACTGGGCTATATCCCCAGCCCCCTCAAGGGTTCTTTTCTGAACAGTGGTTCCTTTCAGTCTGAGCTGGTGTGCATACACAAGTAGAACTTTTTTTTGTCTATGAAGTTGCTCTGAGACAGTACTCTTTAGTCTTTATAAATCCTTTTGTGCAGCAAAAAGGGTCTGTAAGGTATGTCTTAATATTCCTGTGCCAAAACAGAAGAGCTTATGGTCTTACCCTTGACTTCTTCTTTGCCATGAGGCCACATTTTACTGCCCTATATTAACTCTTCGTCATGAGGTTATGTCTTCCTTTGAAATGCTTTTGCTACCTGAAAGGAATTATTCTGGGCCCTCTGTATCTCTTCTAAAATCTGTTCATAATTTAAAGAGTTTTTTTTCTTCAATTAAGCTGTTATCTTCTACTCTGATAAGGCTGGTAGCAGAAGTTAGCTAGTACCTTCAATGTTCAGCATTGATAGCTAGCTCCTTAATTAGGTCACCAAATCCATAAAGTTTCTTTTCTATCCTCCTTATTATTGTAGGTACCAAGTTTCCTATTTCTGTGTAGCAAGAATCCCTTTTTCTCCAGCCTCCACTAGCATTTTTCTACTGGTCAGTCTCCCATCAGCAGTCTTTATGAAGCCCTTCCAACTTATGCCTGCTGCTGAGCCCCAAAGCCAGTGCACTTTATAAGCTTTTATATCTGCACCAACTTTCAGATATATAATTGTTTCAATTGCTATAACACAAATTATTCCTAAAACTTAGCTTAAAACAGCTATTTTATTTTATCTCATACATTTATGAGTCAGGAATTGGGAAGGTTCTTCTGCTCCATGTGGCATCAACTGATATCATTCACTGGTGTTCAACCATCAGCTGGGCTTATCTGAAAGGTGCAAGAAGACATTGTTCTTGTGCCTATCTTCTTGGTGGGGCTCAGTTGGGTCCCCTTTCTTCATTTTAATCTTAGAGCATTGCCATATGGTTTTTCCAAAGTTGTTGAATTTCTTTCATGATGGCTTAGGCTTCCAGATGCCAAGCAGAAGCTGCCAGTTCTCTTAAAGATTTAGCCTGAAATTCGCACAGCTTTACTCCCACTGTATTCAATTAGTCAAGGCAATCACAGAGCCAACCAAAATCAAAGAGTAAGAGAAACACAGCTCACTCTAGATAAGAAGAATGTTAAAGACCTTTGCATTCTGTGACCATTCACCACAGTAACTTAAATAATTTTATTCATTAGAGTCATAGTTACTAATACTTGTTATGGTGTGTGTGTGTGTGTGTGTGTGTGTGTGTGTGTGTATGTTCTTCAAAAATTCCATGTTGATATCTAATCCCCAATGTGATAGTATTTGGAGGTGCAGCCTTTGGGAAGTAGTAAGGCCATGAGGGTGGAGTGTCAAAATGGTCTTAGTGTCAGAAGAGGAGGCCTACAACAGAAGCAGCATCCTAGTTATTAGTTGTTTGAAAGTGTAGGAGGATTTAGTGCACTCCAGTTACGTTCTCTGTATCCTTAGAAAAATCCAGGTAATAGTTCTACTCCTTTTTTTTTTTTCCCGTTTTGATTGTTGAAAGATTTTTTTTTAATGTTTTTTTTAGTTGTAGATGGATACTATCTTTATTTTATTTATTTATTTTTATATGGTGCTGAGGATCGAACCCAGTGCCTCACACATGCAAGGCAAATGCTCTACCACTAAGCTACAGCCTTGGCCCCAATTGTTGAAAGATTTTAAGATTTAAATTTCTTCTGTGATATCATAATGTATTCTTACATACTTATTACCACAGATGTCCATATTCTTTCACTTAGTTTTTATACCTTCTTTAAACCAATTTACATATTACTAAAATTTTAATAAAGAGAAAATTTTTCTGTAATGAAAAATACTTATTTGGAATATTTTTATTATAGTGAAAAGGCTGAAAAATTAATGTGTCTTTTCAGAAATAATAAATAGAGTTAATACAATAACAAAGATAAAGACTGACAGATAAAATATTTGATTTTTCTATTATAATTAATATATTAGTCTAAAAATAGTAATATTTTCTAAATGTTTATTCATATTCTTTCAACAAACTGTGCTTTGACCCATTTCTTATTCTGTTTTTCCTTTGCAGAACCTGATTTGGAAACAGAAGTTCTACAAGAACCAAGTAGGCAAAACAAAGATGGGAGCTTGTCTTGTATTGTTACTGATGTGTGGATTAGTGAGGAAAAAGAGACAAAGGAAACTAAGTATGTTGTATCTTTTTTCTTACATTTCAAGACCCTTTTATAATACTTTAAAAAAATACTGTAATGACCTAATATTGTAATTTAATATCCTAATATTACAATACCCCATAAAATAATTTAATTTCTTTTAATTGTCAGTGAACTTTATTTATTTATATGTGGTGCTGAAAATCAAACTCAGTGCCTCACACATTCTAGACAAGCCCTTTACCACTGAGCCACAACCCCAGCCCTAATTTAATTTCTTAATAGATATTCACATGGTTCAGAAATTAACAAGTGCATAAAGTATTTGAAGAAATATAATAAAATTTCTTGCCTGCCTCTATTTTTATCCAACCAATTTCCACTCTTTTTTTCCTTCAGATAATTTTAGGTATGTGTAAACAAAAATATGTGCTGGAGATGTGGCTCAAGCGGTAGCGCGCTTGCCTGGCATGCGTGCGGCCCGGGTTCGATCCTCAGCACCACATACAAAGATGTTGTGTCTGCTGAGAACTAAAAAATAAATATTAAAAAATTCTCTCTCTCTCTCTCTTTAAAAATAAATAAATAAATATACACCCTTCCTTTTTAAATATAATTACGAGTATAAGGTAATATTTTTTACCTTGTTTATTTTTAGTCACTAATACATATGAGAAATATTTTCATATTAGTACATAAAAACGACTTCCTCCTCTTTTGTATTTCACTGTATGGATACTCTAACTCATCAGATCTTCTGCTTGATAGATATTTAGCAATATTGCAAATAATGTTGCAATGAATAATATTTTACATAAGGAAATTTTTGTGTATCTGTAAGATAAAAATACAGAAATATTATTGCTGGGTCAATTCCACTTTTACAAATTGCATTTGTAATTCAGTTATTTTTTTTTTCCCCAGGGGTTGTATCAGTTTGAATTCTCAGAGTATATGAATGATTAATGATAGAGTTTGAACAAAGTGAAACATATGGTATGCTTATAAGAAAAAATATATATAAAAGTGAGAAAAATATTTGAAAGAGAGATCACAGGATGCTAATGAATTTGAGTTCTGTTTTCTTTATATTAGAGCACTTTTATTTCTGGTAAACTATGTTTTTGAACTGGTGTACCCATTTATGGCAGATTGGAAGATAGGGAAGCCATTCAGCAAAATGAAGTTTCTGAGGATGGAATCCTGAGAAATGTGGACCACTTTAGTGAGAGTCATACAGGTAAGTATCATTGCATTAGTCTGATTTCTTTCTGAAAGGTTAACACCAACTTGTTTCATTTGGGCAATATATACATACAGAACATTCCTTATCAGTCATCATAGTCATTTTTTTATTTATATATGACAGCGGAATGCATTACAATTCTTATTACACGTATAGAGCACAATTTTTCATATCTCTGGTTGTATACACAGTATATTCACACCAATTTGTTTCTTCATAGCTGTACATTGGATAATAATGATCTTCACATTCCACCATCATTAATTCCCTTCCCCTCCAACCCCTCTGCCCTAGAGTCCGTCTATTCCTCCCATGCTCCCCCTCCCTATCTCACTATGAATCAGCCTCCTTATATCAAAGAAAACATTCAGCATTTGGTTTTTTGGGATTGGCTAACTTCACTTAGCATTAAAATGTAGTATGTGTAAAGCATTGGAATCTGCATTCATAAACCTGGATTTTATAACAAAATAGGCAGGAAAAGTTATTAAATTATTGTATTGAGTATTTATGGAAAGAATTCTTTGTGAAAACTAAACCAATATACTAAGGACATTAAATAATTTTTTGTCTTTTAAAAATAGTATTACTTTAAATATGAGAAATGTAATTTTCTTCTTAGAACAAAGATAAACTGAAAAAAATATGAATACCTAATCCACTGTCAAGTGTGTTTTTCACGTTTGCTTGGATCTATGTCTATATTTTAGGACTTCCAATATAATAATAATAATAATAAAGATTATTTAGAAGATAGCATACTCACAAATTTTTTGTTTTCCCAATAGATGTGAGTTTATTTTATATAATTCTTGTTAAATACTATGCCTTGTCAAAATCATTTAAAGCTTTATTTAAGTACTGTTCAGACTGATCACATAATCTCTCCTTTGTACCCTAGAACCTGGAATAGATGATTCTCAGCACTCTAATTGTGATATAGATAAATCTATACAACCAGAACCATTTTTCCAAAAAGTGGTTCATTCTGAACAATTGAATTTAGTCTCTCAAGGTCAGTCAATTCAGTGTTTACCAGAGGAATCCATTCCACTTCGCTCTCACTCTGATTCACCACCAAGGAATAAAAACAAGAATTCTTTGCTGATTGGACTTTCAACTGGTCTTTTTGATGCAAACAATCCAAAGGCAAGTATAGTTTTCAAAAGGAATTTTTATCTGTTTGGTAATATTTCTTATTGGCTGCTTTTCTTAATGTTGAGTTTTAATCTCTTAAAAACACATATGTTAATTAAATTGTCTTCTAAGTTTTATTATTTCTGACAGGAAATTTGTATTTGTATTTATTTATTTAGGTGCCGGGATTGAACCCAGGGGTACTTAACTACTGAGCCACATCACCAGCCCTTTTTTATATTGTATTTAGAGACAGGGTCTCACTCAGTTGCTTAGGGCCTCCCTAAGTTGCTAAGACTGACTCTGAACTCTGAACTCTGTGTTTATATGCTACATTTTTTTTTAATCCATTCATTTACTGAAGGGCATCTATTGGTTCCACAGTTTAGTTATTATGAATTGTGCTGCTATAAACATTGATGTAGCTCTGTCCCTATAGTATGCTGTTTTTAAGTCCTTTGGGTATAAACCAAGGAGAGGGATAATTAGGTCAAATGGTGGTTCCATTCCCTATTTTCCAAGGAATCTCCTTACTGCTTTCCATATTGGCTGTACCAATTGGCTACAGTCCTCCCTTAGCCTTCCAAACCGCTGGGATTACAGACAGGCATGAGCCACCATGCCTGGCTTGTGATTCTTTTTTTATTTTATTTTATTTTTTAGTTGTAGATGGACACAATACCTTTATTTTATTTATTTGTTTTATATGGTGCTGAGGACTGAACCCAGGGCACCACACATGCGAGACGAGCACTCTACTGCTGAGCCTATACAACCCCAGCCCGTCTTTTTATCTTCCTTTTTTATATGTAATGTTTCTTCTTCCCTCCGGCTTCTTTTAAAAAATTTTTTTCTCATTAGTTTCTAGCAATTTGACTCTGAAACACTTTGGTAAGGTTTTTGGGGGGTTTTGGGGGGAGGGGTGTTTTTATCCTGCTTGGGGTCTGATGGCCCTATGGGTCATAGTTTTAATCAAATAAAAAATTTGTTGGCTAGTCAGGCTGCCTTTTTTTTTTTTAAGCAGTCTACCACTGAGTTACATCCACATACAGGAAGTATTGCATAGTACTTTAATAGTTTTCTGAGATTGTGGTCATTTTGTTGTTAAGTCTTTTTTCACTTTGTGTTTCATTGTGGGTTGATTCCATTTATATGTGTTCAAGTTTACTCATCATTTTTTCTCCATACTGCTTTCCGTATTGGCTGCACCAGTTTGCAATCCCACCAACAGTGGATCTTTTTCCCCACATCCTCGCTAACACTTATTGTTGTTTGTATTCATAATAGCTGCCATTCTGACTGGAGTGAGATGAAATCTTAGAGTAGTTTTGATTTGCATTTCTCTAATTGCTAGCTGTGATGAACATTTTTTTATGTATTTGTTGATTGATTGTATATCATCTTCTGAGAAGAATCTGTTCAGGTCCTTGGCCCATTTATTGATTGGGTTATTTGGGGTTTTTTTTGGTGTTTAGCTTTTTGAGTTCCTTTCTTTTATTATTATTTATTTTTTAGTTGTAAGATGGACACAATATCTTTATTTTATTTATTTATTTTTTTAATGTGGTGTTGAGGATAGAACCCAGGGTGTCTTGGACGTGCTAGGTGAGCACTCTACCCCTGAGCCACAACCCCAACCCCTTTTTGAGTTCTTTATATACCCTAGAGATTAGTGCTCTAACTAATGTGTGAGGAGTAAAAATTTGCTCCCAAGATGTAGGCTCTCTATTCACCTCACAGATAATTTCTTTTGCCTAGAAGAAACTTTTTAGTTTGAATCTATCCCATTTATTGATTCTTGGTTTTAATTCTTGCGATATAGGAGTCTTATTAAGGAAGTTGGGTCCTAATCCCACATGTTGGAGATTAGGGCCTACTTTTTCTTCTATTAGACGCAGGGTCTCTGATTTTATTCCTAAGTCTTTGATCCATTTTGAGTTGAGTTTTGTGTATGGTGAGAGATAGGGGTTTAATTTTATTTTGTTGTATATGGATTTCCAGTTTTCCCAGCACCATTTGTTGAAGATGCTATCTTTTCTCCAATACATGTTTTTGGCACCTTTGTCTAATATAAGATAATTGTAATTTTGTGGTTAGTCTCTGTGTCCTCTATTCTGTACCATTGGTCTATGAGTCCAATTGGTGCCAATACCATGCTGTTTTTGTTACTATTACTCTGTAATATAGTTTAAGGACTGGTATAGTGATGCCACCTGTTTCACTCTTCCTGCTAAGGATTGCTTTAGCTATTTTGGTTCTCTTATTTTTCCAGATTGAATTTCTTCTTTTTTAAAAAATATTTATTTTTTAATTCTCGGTGGACACAACATCTTTGTTTGTATGTGGTGCTGAGGATCGAACCCGGGCCGCACGCATGCCAGGCGAGCGCGCTACCGCTTGAGCCACATCCCCAGCCCCTCCAGATTGAATTTCATGATTGCTTTTTCTATTTCTATGAGGAATGCCACTGGGATTTTGATCAGAATTGCATTAAATCTGTATAATGCTTTTGGTAGTATGGTTATTTTGATAATATTAATTCTACCTATCCAAGAGCAAGGTAGATCTTTCCATCTTCTAAGGTCTTCTTTGATTTCTTTCTTAAGGCCCAGGCCAACATCATTCTATGTTAATCTTCTTCTCATGCTCTTCGACCCTACTCTGTTCCAACATCATTCTAAATGGAGAAAAATTGAAGACATTCCCTCTAAAAACTGGAATAAGACAGGGATGCCCTCTTTTACCACTTCTATTTAACATAATTCTTGAAACACTGGCCAGCACAATTAGATGAAAGAAAGGGATACACGTAGGAAAAGAAGAACTCAAATTAGCACTATTTGCTGATGATATGATTCTATACCTAGAAGACCCAAAAAGTTCCACCAGAAAACTTCTAGAATTAATAAATCAATTCAGCAATGTAGCAGGATATAAAATCAACACCCATAAATCAAATTCATTTCTGTATGTCAGTGACAAATCCTCAGAAAGGAAAACTACCCCATTTACAATAGCCTCAAAAAAATAAAATAAAATACTTGGGAAACAACGAAAAAGGTAAAAGATCTATCTCCATTTCTACTGACTGTGGATCAGTAGATGATTTAATCTTCTACTGGCTATGGGCCATTTTTTGCCTGCATTGTGACATGTTTTGTAATTCTTTATTTGAAGCTCAACCTTGTAAATATTATATTGCTGGGTTTTATTTTCTTTCTTTAAAATATGTTGGGCTTTTTTTAACATCTAGTTACGTTTGAATTTATTTTATACTTTCAGACTTTGTTTTTCAACTTTGCTGGGACAGATATATAGTCATCTTGTCTTTAAAGCTATTACCCTGTGACCTGTGACCCTTTGAGACCTCCACTATATACCCAGGTGATCACTGAGGAAAACTCCCTTCTCTTGGTTAGAGCTAATCATTTTCTCTATCTGCATGAGTTCTGAACATCTTTCAACCTACAGGGCCCCAGTTATTTTTGCCTGGCCCTGTAAAGTTTCAGGCAACTCTATACATATACAACCTATTCTTCTTCAGCAACTCAGAAAAACTACCAGTTACCTTGTTATGAATTTTCTGCAGGGTTTTTGGATTTTCCTGAGTACTCAGGGCCTCACACTTGCTAGGAATGTGTTCCAGCCTTTTCTTTTTTCATTCATTCATTCATTTTTGAGACAAGGTCTCACCACATTGGCCAGCCTTGACCTCTTCTTGCCTCAGCTTCTCAAGCATCTGGGATTACAGGTGTGCGCCACCATGTCCAGCTTTTTTTTTTTTTTTCAATGAAACTCTCTCCTTTCTGAACTTTATTTCATTGATCCAGCAAGGCTACACACAGAGTCCAGATATTTTTCTCCAAACAGAAGGCCAGTTTAGGGGAAAAGTAAGGGATCATTCTTGCCTGTCTGTTGTTCAGTCTCTGAACTATGCTTCAGGTATTTTGTCCAGCTTTCTAGTTGTTTTGGTGGGTGGTTGGGTCTGGTCCTTGTTTCATTGTGTCTAGAGCATGAAGTCTCCAAGTAATTTATTTTCCCTAGGTAATCCCTGACATTAAATATCGTTTCAATGCTAATAACGTTATTTCTTCCCCTCTCTCTTACAGATCATTTATCTGTTCCATCAATCAAGCAGTTGTCTCTTAACTAATCTCCCTCAGTTCATGCCTGTCTGAAATCCATTGTCCAAATTACAAACCAGAATTGATTTTTAATATTATGAATCATTAATTCACTGACATGTTTAGACTTCAGAGGTTTTCCACTGCTCTTATAATTACATTCAAACTCTTTACCATCATCTACAGGTTTGATATGGCATTTACTATCTCTTCCTCAACTCAGAACCTCTCACTCTCTTTTCCTTTTTTTCCTCTGATACATCAAATCCTTTCCCGTATTAGGGACTTTGTGCTGCCATTATCTTGGTCTGGAAGGAGCTTCTTTTTGTTCTCTTAATTTTGGCTCATTATTGCCTTTTGAGTCTCATTTCTCAAATATATGTTTATCAATGGGACCTTGACTCCATTTCCATTCCTAGTAATTTCCATCCATTACTTACTTATTTTATAGCAGCTATTTCTTTTTTTTAACTTTTTTTTAATATTTATTTTTTAGCTGTAGTTGGACACAATACCTTTATTTTATTTATTTATATGTGGTGCTGAGGATCGAACCCAGGGCCTCGCATGTGCTAGGCGAGTGCTCCACCACTGAGCCACAACCCCTATAGCAGCATTTCAAAGTGTAATTTCGTTTACTTATTTGTTTATTGTCTGTCCTTCAATAGAATGTGATGCTCTTCAGGTTAAGAACCTTATTTATTATACATAACTATATAGATTTTTACACATATATTTACTACCCACCATGGCCTAGATAGTTTTAATAAATAAAAAAGTAAATAAACATCAAATATGTACATAGTTAAAAAAGTAAGAAGTCAAATCGCTTAGTTCATATTCTAGCTGAAGACTTATAGTTGTGTGATTTAAGTGCCTTAGTTTCGC